ATATATACATATATATATCATGTTATATATATAGCTATATATATAGTTCTATATATATATATGACATGACACTTTGGGTGTTGAGGTGGGCCCGTTTTGTTTTCTTCTTGGTTTTTCCTTAGGCTTTCTAATTTGCCTCATGTTCTGCTGTGTTCTGTGGTTTACTTGTTGCTCACCCAAGCACCCCTTGATCTGGGGGTGGGGCCGCCTGAGTGGCATGACCCAGTAGGACAGAGGTGCTCTGGGCCAGTGATGTCATTTCTGATGACGAAGTCCTGTGAGCGACAGCCACTCCTGGGAGAGTGATGACTCAGCTTCTGGCTTTGGAGAGCTGAGGTCCCCACCCTCAGAAGACGGGAGGAAGGGGCGCCTGGGTGTCAGGGGGCCTGCTGGAGGCCAGGCCCTGAGCCTCGCTCAGGGTCACATCTCATGTGTCTGGGACTGCTGGGGTCGGGCTCTGTGCTGATGTGCCTCAGAGCCTGGAGCCTGTTTCAGATTCTGTGTCTCCCTCTTTCTCTGACCCTCCCCTGTTCATGCTCTCTCTCTGTCTCAAAAATAAATAAATGTTAAAAAAAAAAATTAAAAAAAAAAAAAGAAGACGGGATGGAGCACCCATAAGCGGGAACACCCTTGTGAGGCTCACCCTGACCAGCCCACTGCGGACACCATCACCGCAAGCCTCTCCCCTCACACTCGACTGGCGTAGAAGGGCAAGAAGCAGGTGTGCCCCCTGCCTCTTGTTGACTGCTTTTCGAGTAATTGTTGCCACATTTGTGTTAGAAGGAGTTTCAGTGACCTGGTCAGAGTCGCCACAGAAGCAGACTGTGCCCGTCTCCTACCTCTGGGGGGTTAGCACCTGAGCTCTGTCTCCCGCCCTCCTTCCTGGGTGGGGACAGGGGGTGCCTGTCCTTCAGGGAAGGTAATGTCCACGCGGGGCTGGAGCCATCGCCTGTCTGCCTCCCCTCGGGCTCGGAAGGTGTAAAAGGATAAAGGACATTTTTGCCATGAGCACTGCTTTCTCATCTTCCAGAGGTGCCTTAGTCCCAGATTGAAATTAAGTCAATCACGTATTCGTTGATTCATAAATACTTTTGAGACCCTGACTCTGCACATAAGTGGCGCCATGCTAAGCACAAAGGGGAGACGAAGGCAACGTAAGCCCCTCTTTTCTCCAGGAGCATATGTAGAATACAGCTCAAGAATGAGACAGACTTACGAAACGGCCAAGTGGCGATGCCAGAATAAGGCCCAAACTGTGCGGATTAAAGTGTAAGTGTTGTGAATGTTAGAAGAGGGAGCAAGAGAGACAGAACACAGAAGGAGGGCTTCCTGAAAGAGGGGACCCTTGAGCTGGGCCTTGAAGGACGGGTAGAGTTGAGTGATCACAGAGTGGGAAAGGATGCCGGGGTGGAGAACAGTACCAGCGAGGCCATTGAAGCCACATGGATGGCCAGAAGCAAAGCCTTGGATTTGTAGGCACGGACGGCCCAGCATAGGGCCCTCGCCTGAGCTCTGGGGAAGGCGGGAGGGACCTCACAGCTCCCACTCCCGCTGCAGGACAACACCATCGACTTCTTGGAGTATGTGGCCGCCCTGAACCTCGTGCTGAGGGGCACCCTGGAACACAAGCTGAAGTGGACCTTCAAGATCTATGACAAGGACCGCAACGGCTGCATCGACCGCCTGGAGCTGCTCGACATTGTGGAGGTCGGCATCCGCCCGTGGGGCCTGGGCGCGTGAGCACTGCTGGGCTCTGAGGCCCGGCCCCTCAAGTTGGGGCCCCCGGGGCTGGGGTGGGGGAAGGAGCACGGGGATCATTCGGAGGGTGCTTTCTGACAAAGGTCAGAATTAAGCTAGAAATCCACTACAAAAAGACACCTTAAAAAAATCCCCATCTGTTTGGAAATAAGGCGGTACACTCCTAACTCCTCCATAAATGAAAGACGTTACATCACATGCATATACGCACCAAGTGCACGGAGCCGGATTATAATGCTCACGTAACATAATCGGCTGTGGAGTGCGGCCGACGCTGGACTTGTAGAGCATTTTAGCGCCTTAAAAGGTAGATGTCAGAAAATTAAGAGGCTGGAAATCGCTGATGTTAGGAGTCATCTCAAGAAATTAGTAAAGGGGCGCCTGGGTGGCGCAGTCGGTTAAGCGTCCGACTTCAGCCAGGTCACGATCTCGCGGTCCGTGAGTTCGAGCCCCGCGTCAGGCTCTGGGCTGATGGCTCAGAGCCTGGAGCCTGTTTCCGATTCTGTGTCTCCCTCTCTCTCTGCCCCTCCCCCGTTCATGCTCTGTCTCTCTCTGTCCCAAAAATAAATAAAAAAAAACGTTGAAAAAAATTAAAAAAAAAAAAATTAGTAAAAAGAAGAGTAAATTAATGAGAGGCAATTAAGAGGTGAGAGGCACCTGGGTGGCTCGGTCGGTTAAGTGTCTCTGACTTCGGCTCAGGTCATGATCTCACAGCTCGTGAGTTCGAGCGCCGGGTCGGGCTCTGTGCTGACAGCTCAGGGCCTGGAGCCTGCTCCGGAGTCTGTGTCTCCCTCTCTGCCCCTCCCTGACTCATGCTCTCTCTCTCTCTCTCTCTCTCTCTCTCTCTCAAAGTAAATAAACATTACAAAAAGTTAAAAAAAAAAAAAAAAAGCAATGAGAGTAGAAGAAAGAACCTACTATAGCACAGACTGACCCCTGACCTGCGTCACCCTGTTACCGCCCTAGAACTGCACTCCCAGGGGGCGGTTGTCTGCCCATTTCACAGATAAAGAAGTCGCCTCGGGGCAGTTCTGTGGTTTGCCCGAGTTCATCCATCCCAGGAGGCACTGCGGCTGGCCCTAGCCCCGGGGCTCTCAGACCCGGGTCAGTGGGACCCACATTGTGCCAGGCACTGCACTGGGCAGTGAGGGCCTAGGGATCGACAAGACAGGCTCTGTCCACGGAGCTCCCCATCAAGGAACTGAGGAAAACCCTCACATTTGTCTGTCTCTTCCCCATTTCACTTCACCAACACCGCCTCATGGGGAGAGGAAACAGGGCAAGGCAGAAACCTGTCCTTTCCCTCGTCCAAACGCCGGTATCCCCCCTCGTCCTGTTTTACACACACGTCCATAAGTATCCTCTTTTCCCCTCTGGGTCTCCATCTCCTCCTGGGCAAAGTGGACTTGGGAACATCACAGTGCCGGGTCCATCCCTCATTGAGGGTCTTGGGTTTCACTTTGACAGTCACAGGGCATCAGGGTGAAGTGGCCTATGAGGCCTGACACTCTTCAGCTGGAACTAGGCCAGTGGGACCCTGAGAGAGCAGCCCGAGGACAGGTGGATTTTTATTTGGGTCTGGGTCTGCACAGGCTGGGGGGCAGTGCTGGGGACGCAGGGCTGAGGGCCTGGCAGAGGGAGGGAGGGAGGGAGCTGGCGGTTTTCTCTCGCAGGCGATCTACAAACTGAAGAAAGCCTGCAGGGTGGAGGAGGAGGCCGAGCAGCAAGGACAGCTGCTCACACCCGAGGAAGTGGTGGACAGGATCTTCCTTCTGGTGGATGAGAACGGAGATGGTAAGGGG